TACAATGTTTTTAATTAAAGAAGAAATACTTCAAAAGGTGTTATGTAATAATATTATCTAAGAAATCAATAATAGTTATAGAATCTGATTCTGCTATCAACAGTGTCACAAAGCCTTCTTCATCCCCTCCCCTCTTGAATAGCTAGCTAGCTAGCTTGTACCCATGTTTTACTCCCTGCTCCAGAGCCTTTTCTTTATCCCCTCTTCAGTAGCTTCTACCTACTGATCCATTGTTCACTCGCTGGTCCAGGCCCAGTCCGGAGCTAATGTCAGACAAACAAGACAGACTGGAAGCTCTGCACTGGCATGCTGCTCCAAGTTTGTCTCTTTCCTCTCTTTCAATTATCACCCTTCGTGGGATGTCCGTCTTACACCTACAGCACTTCAAACTTGTAGGGTTTGGCATCACCCATTTTGAACACAGTGCAATGTCAAATGCCTTCTTCTTCTTCTTCTTCTTCTTCTTCTTCAACAGCAGGTTTATAAAACGTTGTACGAGCACTTAGTTTTTTAGGATCTACAGCATTGAAAATATATAGGTTACACCAAAATCATCCCCTTTATATGAGTAACAATTCGAGAATCGTCGATTTAAGTTCCAAAGTGACAATCATCAATTTTGGATTCAATTCTATCTAACGATTTTGATTTATATATCATTGGGCATTAAATTTAAGAGAGTAACCCATACACCATGCAACATAAATATATTTAATGGGTTCAGAGTCACCCCTGAAACAGATTCGATTTCATGGTCATCCCCTACTTTGGAAACGCGTATCTCCGATCTAATTAATTATTATTTGCGAATAAAGAGCAGCACAAGAAGTAGTTAATCAAGTCAAACAAGCACGATGACCGACTACAACAACGAAACCCACAACCCTGTCACGTTCGGCGTCCTAGTTTCCATCAGCGACCTCTGCGTTCTCGGAACCTCATCGGAAGCCCTCCATCCATCCTCATGGATATGGAGAGATCGTGCTTTCCCCTCTGCTCGGCCAACTCCATGTCGAACCCCTCCAATATACTCGCCGTGATCGCCTTCATCTGTATCACCGCCATCTCCTTTCCCAGGCACATTCTCGGCCCCGCATGGAACACCGGGTACTGGAACGCGCTCCTCGCCTGGAACACCCCCACCTCCAGCCACCTCTCCGGCTTGTACTCGCCGCAGTCCTTACCCCATATGACCTCCGCTCTTCCCATCGCGTAGGAGTTGTACATCACCGTCCACCCCCGCCGCACCCTCGTTCCGTCCGGCATCTCGTCGTCCGCAGCGCATACCCTCGGCAGCAGCGGCACCGCCGGATGCAACCGCAGCGACTCCGCGATCGCCGCGTGGAGGTAGTTCATCTCCCTCAGCTCCTCCAGCGTGAACGCCTCCCCGCCGGGCTCGCAGCGTCGAGCCCGTACGAGGCGGAGCTCCTCCCGGATGTGATCCACGACGTCGGGTTTGGAGGAGAGAACATAGAAGAACCAGGTGATGGCGGCGGGCGTCGTGTCGCTGCCCGCGAGCACGACGCTCAATAGGAAATCGCGCAGGAACTCGTCCGTTCGGGTGCCGTCCTCCGCGAAGCGCGACAGGAGGTCGCCCCCGCTGCTGGTGCAGCCGCCTGACCTTTTCAGCCGCACGTACTTGTCGACGAATTCGTGGACGACGGCCGTGGATTCCCGTAGCCGCCTCTCGTCTTCGGTGTCGAGCCACCGCTTGAGTTTCCAGACAAGCGGATGGGGCAACTTCATCCGGTCAACGCTGAGGTGCGCGGCTTTGTGGAAGGCCCGAAAGAACCGCTCGCCCTCCTTGTTCCCCCGCCGGAGGCAGTCCGCGTCCTGGTCGAACACCAGGCTGATGATGTTGTCGAAGGCGAAGCGATCGAAGAGCTCCTGGAGGTCGAGCACCTGGCCGTCCCGGCTGGCCTGCCGGAGCAAAGGCACGAGCCGGTCGGCGGCCTCATGGCGCACCCTGTCGAAGACGAAGGCGCGGAGGGACTTGGTGTTGAACTCGAAGCTGGCGGCCCGGCGCTGCGCCTTCCACTGCTCCCCGTTGGAGATAAAGATGCCGCGGCCGAGGAAGTCGTGGAGGGCGGAGACGACGTCGCCGCCCTTGGGGTAGTTGTCGAAGTTCGCCTTGAGCATGTGCTCGACGTTGGATGGGTTGGCGGTGAACACGAACGGCGCGACGGTGACGGTGCCGGTGGGGGAGGCAACGAGGAGCTCGGTCGTCCACTCCAGGAACCGGTCGCAGTTGTTGATGAAGTGGGGGAGGTTGCCGACGAGGGGGTAGCACTTGGGGGCAGCGAAGCCGGCGCATGGGGGCTCACGGGGAGTCGACCGCGCCTTGAAGAAGACGAGATGGGCGCACCAGATGAGGAACAAGAGGAATGGAAAGGATGCAAGCATAGGGAAGGAAGACAGCAGATCCATGGTGTCAAATCTCGCTTCTTCTTCCTCTCCTTCTCCCTCGGGTGTAAGTTTATGGGCGAGCAATTCTAATAGCTCCTATGTTCCACGTGTATGTGGTTGCAAGAGATCTGTCGGAGTCCAAGCTATTCAAGAGGGGATGGAAAAGGCTCTGAACCAGCGAGTAAAAAATGGATCAGTAGGTAGAAGCTACTGAAGAAAGGCTTTGGAGCAGGGAGTAAAACATGGGTACAAGCTAGCTAGATAGCTATTCAAGAGGGGATGAAGAAGGCTTTGTAACACTGTTGATAGTAGAATCAGATTCTATAACTATTATTGATTTCTTAGATAATATTATTACATAACACCTTTTTAAGTATTTCTTCTTTAATTAAAAACATTGTATTCCTTGACTCATATATGACATGAAGGTAATCGTCGAACCAATTGATTTACCAGGAATTCATGAACTCGATCGGAGATTTTACCTGTTGATCTACATTCGTGAACTGTATGTGATGAGATCTGATATCATTATTTTATTGACTGACACGAAACGACTATTCGATTATAAAAAGAGCACACCTTTCACGTTGGAAGGAGGTAGATGACAAATTTCTGTCGTTCCACTAAAACTACTATAAACAAATATTTCATGGAAAAAGTACTACCGCCGGTCTTCACCTCCTCGGTATTCCCCCTCCTCCTCGTTGGTCGCAACCACGTGTGGAGGCGACCTGTGATGGAGACACGTGTAGTTATCTTTCTTTCCTCAAGCGTCGGTGTTAGTGATGGGATATAAAGAGATATAAAATTTTATATAAAAATTAATATTAATATATAACGTAACGAAAGTAAATGAAATCATAATCAAGTAGAATATCAAGATATACGTAAAAAATTCCTTCGATGTGAAGGATAAAAATCATGGGACAAACTAGAGATAATCCACTAGTCATAATAATGAATATACAACTCTCAATCTCTTGCCTAAAACCCTAACAACAACCGTAAGAGAATAACTGGGACATAAGGATCATATCACTGTGCATAATATCTAAATCCTCCATAATTCTCCCTAAGTAATTATAATAAAAATCTACTATAGATCTGATCTAACCTGAGATGAAAGCACTGTTAGATGATTGAGAACGATCTCTCTGTATTGTCCTTATTTTCTTCCATTTCTTTCTCTGGATTTCTATCTTTTTTGCCACCCATAGCCCCCTAATATGAAGTAGAGTTAGATTAAGTGAGGAGATGGATTATGGGCTGTTCAAGTCTACTATGAGCTGAAACTGTAGGCTGCCAGCCCAACATTTAGGACCTGGAGCGATTGCTGCATGCCACCGGGCCCAACCTGCATATATTGCAAGATTCAAAACCTAAAGTGTTTGGGATTCGACATTTTCCGACACCAATCAGAGACAAGTGTAAGATAAGAGCTTGATTGACTCTAAATCGACTCCCGAATCCGATAATAAGAATCTTCGTGTTAATCTCCATTAACACGAACACTAAATTAGGTTGGTTGTCATGCATCTTGTTTAACGCTTACTGATATTAGACTGAAGCAATCAACACATTTGTTCTATCTGGTATGTCTCCTCTTGTTGCAGGGCACCAGCTAGACAACAGCAGAGAGAGAGAAAGAGAGAGAGAGATGGAAGGTCCTTGTTTGTCTGGTATGTCTCCTCTTGTTCCAGGGCACCAGCTAAACGGCAGAGAGAGAGAGAGAGAGAGAGAGAAAGATGGGAGGTCCTTGTTTGCTTCATCTTTGCTTTGGCCAAAAGACTTGTTGGGTCGATTCACTTGCAAGAAACTTGACGCGAGAGAGAGAGAGAGAGCTTCTCATGAACGGCTTCAGCAGTTGCCAAAGTTGTGTTCTACACCTAAAAAAAGTTCACCTTTCATCAACCTGGATCGGTGACTGACAAGCATGGCTCTACCACTGCAACATGCACTCACAGTGGGCAGCAATGGCAAGGTTAAGACGTCCTTTTGATCCTCATCTAAAGAAAGCGTGCATTTGTAAGACATATATGCGAAGGTGTGGTTGTGTGTGTTGAGATGCATGCATATGTGAGAAGAAGCTTACGCAACTTACGTCAACCTTTCGTTCGCATGCACTCATAACTGTATTACACAACTATATTGGACTCGATCTAGACACAACGTCAATTACAAACCCAATTTTGGCACCCATGTCCGCCTCAATACGAGCTATACGATTCACTCTGACCAAAATCATCAAAAGCTTAAGTCATTGTAAAATGAGAGAGAGAGAGAGTTTGTGTGTGTGTGTGTGTGTGTTAGAAGCTGACAACGCCTGCTATACTCATATATAGATATATCCTTCCATCATCGTCGTTATCTATTTCCATACAAAACAATCCATCTTTTCCAGATTCGTTGGTGGGAGCTCTGTGCACAACGCTTGCAACACGAAGCACATTAAGTCCGTCTGCTGGTCGCCACCAACCATGGCGTCCTACGAGTACTCGCACATTATACCGCAATAACTACCCGCCAAGCAAAACCCTCTCTCCTCTATCCAGACACAGATCAGTAGGTATTAATGCAAAGGGTAAATAAATGCTCCTTCTCTTTTTCCCGCTGAATCCAACTCCAAAGCTCCAAATTCCATTGAGCTCTCCATGCCGGCGCTATAAAATCCCGCCGCTGTCCATTACACTCTCTTTGACAGTCCCCCTAAAGAGCCACACGACACCTTCCAGTAATGGATCTCCCCTTAATTATAGGCCTTCTCTCTGCCGCCTTACTCTTCCCTTTAGCTCTCGTTTCCTTCGCCTACATCAGGTTGATCTGCAGGCGCAACGCACCCTCTCGCGGCGGCCGCGAGAGCCCGACCGACCCGGAGCTGGGCAAGGAGCCTGAGGCGGCCAAGGGCGATGGCGACGTCGCCCTTCGCCGGTTCCGGTGGGCGGAGGTCGAGTCGCTCACTGGCAACTTCGCTCCCGCCGCCGTGATCGGCGAGGGCGGCTTCAGCACCGTCTACCTCGCTTGTCTCGCCCCCGACGCGTCCCCGGCTGCCTTCAAGCTCCAACGCCCCAGCGAGCGCCTCCACCGCGCCTTCCGACAGGAGCTCGACGTTCTCATCCGTCTCCGTCACCCCTACATCGTCCGGCTTCTTGGCTACTGCGACGACCGCGGTACGTCCCCGTCCCACCTTGATTCCTCCGTCACCGCCCAATCTTTCGGTGGTCCTTAACTGTTTGTGTTTTTGCTTCCCCGCCGACTAAAACGCAGAAGGAGGAGTTCTGGTGTTCGAGTACGTACCGAACGGGAGTCTCCACGAGAAGCTTCATGGCGATGGTGGCGGCGCAGTGCTGCCGTGGGCGCGGCGTATGGCAATCGCCTACCAGCTCGCCCAGGCCCTCGACTATCTGCACGACGGATGCGATCTCCAGATCGTGCACGGAGACGTCAAGGCGTCGAATGTGCTCCTGGACGAGCGGCTCGAGCCCAAGCTGTGCGACTTCGGATCCACCCGGGTGGGCTTCTCCGCCGCGGTCCTGCCGCGGGCCGCTCACCCGATGCTAGGCTCGCCCGGCTACGTCGACCCGCACTACCTCCGGTCCGGCACGGTCTCCAAGAAGAACGACATCTACAGCTTCGGCGTGCTGCTCCTGGAGCTGATCACCGGCTCGGAGGCGTTCGACTCGGCGGCGGAGCGGATGCTGACGGCCGCGGTGGGCCCGGCGCTGCGGGACCCGTGTGCCAGGGCGGGGGAGCTCGTGGACCGCAGGCTGGCCAGGGCGTACGACGCGGCTGAGGTTGCCGCGGCGGCGTCGATGGCAGCGGCGTGCGTCGGGGACAACCCCAGCCTTCGGCCGTCCATGGCGGAGGTGGTGAGGCTCCTGGCCCAGGGGGCGTCATCCTCGATCTCCGCCGTCAGTTTGGCATCGGACGGCAAGGCGGATGTATAATCCCAAGTACTTTTTCAACCAATAATATTCAACCCGCTTCATCCACCAGACCTGTGATTGGTAGCCGCAGGCGGGCAGGATGACCTTCTTACTCGGCGTGACTTCGGTGACGGGTCAAGTTACGACCCCAATTGCGTCGCCATAAATGTGGCCGGTGGGTGGCGTAAGGAAGTAGTAATTGGGCGTGAAAGACCGTAGTATAATGTTTAGTAATACTTGAGATCGCGACTGCTCGCTCAATGGGCGACATAGGGACAGCTGTGCTTTTGCAAGGATGGAGGAAAGGTGTGTGTGCCGAATCGATCAATAGTATTATTATATGAGTGGTAAGGAAATAGTATTATTATTATTATTATTATTATTATTATTATCAGGAGCGGGACTGATGGCAGGGAATGGCACGCACATGGCGGAAGCAAGTCATTTGAATTCAAATTTTGGCGCTCGAGCGGACCATTTGGCTGATACCTTAACATTCGACGCGCACATGCACATGCACCTGAGCATGGGAAGAATAGCCACTGCAGGTGGGATACACGTGCGGACGCAGCTTTTAGACCTGCGCAGCCACGCCGTGTCAGCAGTTATATGTTGTCGAGGAAAATATTCACTATAAAAAAAAGAAGTAAATTTCTTTTTAATACAAAGGAAAAGTCACAAACTGAAGAGAAAAATAATTATTTCTTTTTCTCCTGTGAAATAATATCAATGTTGCAAGGTCTTAGAAAACTTTTATCTCTCATCGTAGAGGTTTCAGCATAGTTTAATCGGATCTCGAATCAATAAGATCGTCCACGCAAACACTTGGACAGTAGAAGTGTCGGGTCGGGTTGGGTTCGAGCCTCATCTCCGAGGTTGATCTTCTCCTCTTGGCTAGTTGCTTGCTTTGTCGTCATCGAGTTTTTACAATTAGTGTCGAGTGTCGAGTGATTTTCTGACTCAACCCCTCTAAAATTTAAATTAGTGTCGAGTGAAATTGTAGGGGAATTAAGTGCTTGGAGATCTCTCTTTAACATTGGTCAGGGGTTGGCTTTTATGTTTAAATTAGTATCGAGTGAAGTTTAAATTAGTCTTACAATATTAACACTTGAAAAATAAAATCAAATCGGTTCCACCCTCTTTAATCAAAATGCTCTTGTAGATCTACTGAGGTTCATTTTTCTTTAGTAGTTCAAGGGTTAAAAGAAGCAAACAGTTTACTTGATTATCATTATAAACATTATTTACCTTTTATTTTATTACAAAGCCAAACTTTTCTTATTTTTAAAAATAATAATAATAACTTTTAGCCTTGTCTCCAGTTTAATTTTTTTGCTAATCTTACCACGGACAAGCTCCAAGTTCTTGGTATTGACCCTCTTTCAGTTTGCCTAAAACTTTGCTTCACTTACTTATTTTTTCACTATGAGTATGCTTTAGCATTTTGGAATTCTTTACGATCCATTTAACTGCATTGCTTCTTGGTCAGATAGTGATTGATTATTTAAGAATGAGAAAAGTTGTTTGAGTATTCCTGTTTTCATCGAGACTTCAACTGTTATATCCTTTCGGCTTCTATGGTAAGCAGCTCGTAATAACATTATTTCAACTCCTTCATTATCTCTCTCTCTGTAATATAGTCTTGGCTATAACTATCATGAATACTGCATCTATCATTGCTGAGGATTATACGGCGATACATCTAACTTCTAATTATATCGGAAAAAAATCCTAACACCGATTGGTTCAAACTCAGATTGTGATGGTTCTTAAAACCATCTTGAGGATGGAAGCTCTGGTTATGTTATTAGAAGATCTAATAATTTTAAGATAATTATATGTTTCCTCATATAGTTAAGTATGATTAATATTTCGATCTTTATACTTTAAATAATAGCATTCGAGTCCCTATATTTATCAAAAGTAGCATTCGAGTTTCTATACTTACAAAGTTAAAATATTTAATATTTATTCTTCTTACGTTGTTAACTTTATTAACGGAAAAAATCATCTCGCTTCTGCACACACGACCATCGCCTCTCTTGCACCTCTTGTCATTGTCACACCGGACCCAACTCGCATGCTGCACTTGCTTGCCCATCGCTCGCACGCCACACAATTGGGTGTGTTTGCTGTGGTGTCGGAGCATATGAACTTTTGCCAACATAGACAGGAGAGGACCTTGCTTGATGCTTTTTGCCAACAAATGCCACTATGAATCCTCTACTATTGATATGGAAAGCAAAGAAATAGTAGTCTAGTTGGTATTGGTGTTGACGATGAGGGGGGAGATCTCGTTGACTTTGGGGTGGAAGATGACGAGCTGAGAGTCGCAGGAGGATAAGGAGAGGTGACTATTGCAAGGGGATAGCTGCAGGCTCTAATCGAGGAGGAACGAGTCGCGACTGGAGAATGGTATATGAGCGACGACGATGAGTGGTGGTCAAGTGATGCAGGAGCGGTGCAAGTCGAGCTGAGTGCAGTGGCGAAGTGGCAAAAAGTAGGTAGAGGAAGAGAAATCGATTAAAATAAGAAGTGGATATAAATTTAATAATTTTAAAAAATAAATAAAATTATTTTTTATCCCTTTCATTTGTGTTTTTTTTTTTCACGTGACAACAAGTACGATTTTTTTCCATCAACGAAGTTAATGATACAAAAAATTTAGGATTAAATATTTTACGTAAGTGTAGGGATCCAATATTACTTTTTAAAATATAGGGATCGGGATACTAATCATAGTTAACTATAGAGATAATATATAATTTTCCTGATAATTTTTATATTTTAGATGTAGATTTCTAAAGAATAGAAACATTCTATGTTATGAAGCTGCTATAATTTTAGAATAACTTAAAAGCAACTAAACATAAGGAAATTCAACGATTCATTATAGAAGTTGATTCTTAAGTCTTTGTGGATATACTTATGAACGAACCTCCGGTGAAACTGAAGCATCTCAAACATCATTAGTAGCATTTTATTTATAACTCACTCTTTGGAGTATTTTACTATTAAGCTCATTTATCACGAAGGCAATAAGATAGCTAATCGATTGATAAGTTTTGTTAGATCAAATACGACCACTGTTAATTAGAATAATGCTATTTTATCATAGCTCTTTTGTCTTGTCAGCCCTCATAATTAAGAACTACTCGTATGTATTAGGCTGATGTGGCAATAAATTTATTTTTTATTTTGAAAAAAAAGAAAAGAAAAAAAGCTTCCACGAAGCGACTGAAAACAGCAAGAGAAAGCCCCCACAATATGCAGTGGGAATGGCAACGCAGTGGCGATCAGTACTTGTTCTTCTTCCTAGGAAGCAACAGAGCGCGCAGTGGATGCTTCATGACCACGGTGAACTCCGTCTTCTCGCTCAAATCCACCTCTTCCCCCGCCACCGCTTTCCACTCGAACTCCTTCACCAAGTTGGCCACGAAGTACTCGAGGTGCAGCATCGCCAGCCCCAGCCCCGCGCAGACCCTCCTCCCCACCCCGAACGGCATCATCTTGATCTCCCTGCTCCCCGTCACGTCCACCCCATGCCCGGCGCCGCCCTCCAAGAACCGCTCCGGCTTGAACTCCAGTGGCTCCTCCCACACCCCCTCATCCCATCCCATCTCCGCCACCATGAAGTTCACCGTCGCGCCCTTCGGTATGTCGTACCCCGCGAGCGTCACTTCCTCCGACACCGCGTGCGGCAGCACGAAGTGCGCCGGCGGGTGCCGCCGCAGCCCCTCCATCACCACCGCCTTCAGATACGGCATCCTGTGGAGATCCTCCTCCCTGACCTCCTCGGATTCGCTCCCCGCGACGGCCACGACCTCCTGCCACAGCCTCTCTTGCACCTCCGGGTGCCTCACCAGCTCCGCCATGATCCATTGCAGTGCGGTCGAGGTCGTGTCCGTGCCCGCGTTCATGAACTCCGAGCACAAGCCGACCAGCTCGTCGTCGGTGAGCTTCCTCCCTCCTTCCTCCGCGATCTCGACATCCAGGAGCGAGTCCACGTAGGAGTGGACGAACCTCTCGTTGCCGTCTTGCTTCGTCATCTTATGCTCTCTGCGAGCGCGTATCAATGGGAGAAACCTATCCTTTTGCCTCTGTCGCAGCTCGAGGACGGTGTTCCACTTGCGGCGCAATAGGTACTTGCCTATCCGCGGCAGGAAAGCGAAGGCGTTGAGCTGACTGCTAAAGAGGAGAAGGTCACGAGTGGCCACCTCAATCGCCGTGACCGCTTCCTCGTCCAGCTTCTCGCCGAAACACATCAGGACGAGCAAGCAAAACATGGAGAACTGGAAGGTCTCCATGACCACGACGCCGGCTGCCTCGCGGTCAGCCTCAGCTCGGAGCTTGGAGGTCAGCACGCCGAGGACCCACGCGCGCGCTCCCGCGAACAGCTTCGTGCGGGAGGGGTGGAGCGTCTCGGAGACGAGGTTGCGGCGGAGGAGGCGCCAGACGGGGCCGTAGGAGGCGGTGGTGATGTTGTGCCGGTCGTTGCTGAGGAACCGGGAGGCCGGGAGCGGGGTGGGCCGGTCGGCGAAGGCGGCGCCGTGCTCGACAAGGGCCTTGTGGGCGAGGTGAGGGTCCGACACGAAGATGGAGGTGCGGGAGGCGATGCGGAGGGTGACGATGGGGCCGTATCGGGGGCGGAGGTCGCGAAGGACGGCCTCAATGTCGGTGAGCGAGTGGTTGAGCCACAGCAGGTTGCCGAGGAGGGGGACGGCGGGGGGGCCAGGCGGGAGGCGCCGCTTGCATTTGTTTGGCTTGAGGAGGAAGGCGAGGGCGACGCATAGGGAAAGGGAGAGGGAGAGGAGGACCCAAGTAGTCTCCATGATTAATGTTGTGTTCTCACGGCTAATAGCTTGAATTCTTGTGGTGTGGGTGATTGAGAGGAGGTGACGCATGTATATACGGGAGGTTTCTTGCGGAGGAGTTTACGGGTCGAATGGAACTCTTCTCCGGTCGGGTGAGTCGTCACGGTTGACGTCCACGGGCTTGTCTTTTATGGAAGCGGAAGCAGAACCCGTCATGCTTCACGTTCAGACCATCATCTCGAGGAAAGCTTCCCATTCGAAGCTTCCATGCTTAACGAGGGAAGAAAGGCGAGAGGAATGTGAACGTGGGATCTAATCGACGTAACGGAACGTTAAAGGTTGGCACTTTAATAATGGCGATAAAGACTTGGTGACATTAGCTACCTCATATGACGCCTCACGTCTCCGTTGACCTGTCAACACCTAGTCAACGCGGATCGGAACGTCGACCAAGACACATTAACACCCTGCTCAGGCTCGATCCCTCACGCCATGCCAACATCGATGTCACAGAAGTACGATCCTGCTCCCTACGGGCAGACGCATCAGGCAACGGTAACCCTTACTATAAAAACCCTCGCGCTTCGAGAAAAAGAGGGAGGAGAACACCACAGATAAAAAACCCCATGTGACTATTCACTAACTTGATCGTCGGAGGGGTCAGGCCAAGCTCCCCCGACCCGACCTGTGTGCAGGTGCGAAGACGGAGGCCTCCCACTAAACGCCCAAGCGAGGAGTTCCATCCCGGAGGAAGTAACGACCCCGTCTCGATCGGACCATCGTAATCGACCACCTCAATGGTCTAAAGGACCGCCCCGGGAAGATCCCCCATCATCCGGGTCCGAACCAAGCCGCGTCGGCCCCGAAGCAACGGCTTAAAGTTGTTTACACCAACACTTACTATAATGCAACATAGATCTAATAGACGAAATCCGTAATCCAAGATAACTCAATCTAGTTTAGCTCAACTCCGCTCAGCAGGTCGAAGAATACTACTTGGCTCGGTTCGAACGAGTATACGTCGGTAGGCATGTGAATCATGCCACAACATGGACGAAGAAATATTTCCATAGATACGCAACGGTTAAATCCAAAAGAGAAAGATTAATTTCCGAACAAAGAATATTCTTAAAATTATAAAAATGATTTAGTGAGAAACCAAAATGATTTATATTTTCTATCCGGTAAAAATTTATTTATTTATTTTAAATATTATTACTTTATATTTATTTGCATGATTATATTGTTATTTATTATATATTTGGGTCATATGAAAAATTTTGTTTATTTACTTATTAATTTAAATAAAAAATATGCATTTATTTTTTAATAAATATTTAAATTATTAGAATGATAAATTTGTCATGTGAAACATAATTTTTTTTATAATTTTACCAAACAAATACTTACGTCGATACATACTTACAATATAATTTTCATCTATTGTTTCGATTTATTCAAACGATAACTCAAACTACATAATTTACATTGGGGATGTAAAACATAGTAAATATATCTATATTCAATATCCATCCAAGATTTTCTAACGGCATACAAATGTTAAAAAAAAAAAATTGTCATCTAAAAAAAATTGTCTTTTTATTTATTTTTTATTTTTTTAACGTTTAAATAATTTAATTTCACAAATCACAAACATGTCTATCATACTTATATGATTGATCGAACAAGTTCTTAGTTATTTTGACAATGCTATCTTAAACTCTTTATATATCACCTAAAATCCAATCTGAACTCATATCCACCGTACAAACAATCAATCCGGATTGCATAGCACAAACCAGACAACCAACAGAAATGGCCAGACTAACTAGTGTTTGTAGGGCCTACAGAACCTTTCAAGTCATATTCTAAGCCACATTTCCACAATGTGAAACCCACCATCTCTGACCAAAGAACAGCAGAAGCTCTTCTAGAGAACCGGGGATAAGATCCATTATTAGTCCTCGTGAAAATAATGGTTTTTAGACCATGTAATGCTCGAGGGCTCCATCTAGACTTTGACTGACATGAAGAATGTCACCCAAGCCAAACAAGTCAATAGCTTCATAAGGTTGACATATACCTTTCATGAGAAGTCTTGACGTTGTACTGCATGAGAGGCTCCTGATTCATGCATCGGTTCCTCGATGAAGAGGCATGAGATCAATGCAAACCCAACAGGCTTCACAGGAACAACCAAGGCAAGCATCATTTGGTTTGACTGGAACCAAGAAGGAAAAAGAGAAACGACATCAAGAGAGATGTATAGTCAATCATTCATAGCTTAACGCATTCATTGTAACTAAAACAATGATATGATGCAAGAGAGTAAGCATTTGCTTGTCAGAAAATGAAGTATAATAAAGAAGGTAATGGGCAGAATAATACCAAGGAAACAAGAATTAGACGGATGGTAAAACATTTAGGCAGAAATCATTAGGAGAATCTGCTGCGTTAAATGTTACTCTTTACCGTAGTTCCGCATTTAGGATGAAGCAGCTAATGACAGAAAATTAAATGTTACTGTTTACCATAGTTCCGCATTTAGGATGAAGCAGCTAATGACAGAAAATTAATGTCACGAGGACCAAAATTCCTAAGATATAACCCATAAATGGTACTCATAAGTCAGCTAGATGTCATCTAGACCTTATTATCTGAAAACGATTCCAGCACAACGCCGATACAAGGAACAAGCAAAAAATGATTAACATCAAGTTGTTAACATGGCATCAAGTGAGATTTATATGAATTACCATACCTGTGTCCTGACCAACAAATCATACAAGGCTGCCTTCATGAGCATCTGCAAAAGCATTCAGTTTCATCAGTAGGTGGTTAACTAAAAAAATCCAAGAGGTCTCAGGAATAATCTTAATAACCTACATTCTATCACAACATATTCATGATATCCTACTAAAAAATGATTCAAGCAAACTGCAGGCTTCTTCACTAACTGCTGTCTTAGTATGTCAAAAAACATTACTCAAGATTGAGTTTGAAGGCAATCTTTTGCCAATACTATTTGATTAAGCAAGAAACTCAGTTACATCACATGTATCAAACAAATAAGACATCCAACATTAGGAACCTTGAACTTTTAAGTTCAAACTGGAAAAGAAAAAACAGATGTCCATGCCACAAGCAGTTCCATCAATGATCAAATTTCAGCAAGGATCTCATGGATCATCAGCCCTCAATTATCAGTAACACAGTTCTGCTTGACCATGATTTAATGCCAGAAAGGCATGAAGAATGATGGATGCATAGATAGGTTTGGTGATGTCACTGGTATGAAGATGATCGATACCATCTAATCAGCTAAGTTAAAATCAAGAAAGACAACTAAGATAATGGTATGAGAGATCATCTAAGCAAACACAAATACATTTGTGATTCTGTTGCACTTATAGCATCGAATATTTTTAAAAAATCACACATTTGGAGACAACATCTTGAAGGTTCTGGCAGATATGCATACAACAGATTGCAGCTTTATAACTTTCTAGAATACAATTTTGGATACATACACAGCTGAGAAATAGACTTTGAAGCTTATCCATGTACATAATATTATCCAGTGACATTTTCAGGATCTGGAAAACACAAGCATCACAATAAAATTCATAAGAGCAATCAACCACCTCACAGCCTCACCTCTTCAATGCTACTGCTTTTTGGATATACTGGATGCCCTAAGATTACAAAGTAAGGCATCACGTCCAGTTAGTAAAATGTGAAAAAAGTCATTTACTTGTTTTGACAGAGAATCTAGCTCACGGCCAAACACCTCTCCTCCATCGGTCAAATGTGTCATGCATTCTTGCAGCCTTCGTCTCTTTTCAGGGTCAGCATACTCCTTTGGTGAGTTCGACTCATCCTTCTTAACATCCATGCTTAGCTGTGCTGGTTCTTCCACATAATCAATTCTGTTAGTTAAGGAACGGAACATCAGAGCACTCATTTTGAGTGCTTTTATTTCTTTTAGCATCATTACTTTTCCACCCAGCAACTGTCTTCTAATTTCCTCATTCAAGAAAGCTTGCAAATTGTTGAATGCCTCGAGCCATAAGAACTCATCGACAATATGCAAGTCCATCAAGGGCTTTGAGCAGCCTGTCAGTGCTGTTATGATGATACTGCAAGTGAATAGAGTCATGACCTCAACTCCATAAAAGGCTCTCATTAGCACCCTCCCTTTGGCAGAATATTTTATCTTTGGCAAACAAAGGGTGTCATGAAGGATCTGCAAGATAGCATGACACTTTTCTAGCTTAGGACTCGAAGAGTTAGCCTGCTTCAGCCAATCATCAAGAGATACATGAGCTCTTCTCAATTGTTCAGATGAAGGAAAACTAGATGAGATATCCAGGATGCGCAGCACATATCGAAGCAAAAGCTGGCCTTGATCTAATCGGGTAAGCTCAGCACTTAATGCATTGCAAATGTCAAGCATCTTCAAACTGTTCTCAAAGTATTCTTGAATCCATCTCTCATCCCAGTCAGAAACAGGGAATTGAAGTTCCATTATTAATGTTTTAATGTCGGCGTGGACATCCGATAATGATTTAACAGCATGTTTTATCCAAGATAAAGAAAAGACATCTGAGATTACTTCTGCGTGGAGTTTTCTCATTTTTTCTGCAAGGTTTCGCTCGAAATGACTCAGTAAAGCAAGAAGCTTCGATGAGCCTTTGTGACCAGTAACCCGAGAATGATTTCCAAAGTGCAATAAGATGCACAGTCCATCATGTGGTCGGCTCATATTTTTAATTATTGAACTGCCAAAAGAAAGAAACTAATTTTAAAACAAATGCAATAAGTTAAAATTATAAAGAAAGCACAAAGTATAGAAATACTTCTTTGACTTTCTTTCAATAAACAATTTTAACAGCTAAGATATCTAAGCAAATGACCAGTGAGCTGAAAGGTCAAGAAGAAAGCAACATAAATATTATCACTCATATGTCTTGAAGTTTCCTAGAACTAATCTACATCAATTTTAGCACAACCTGGTTTGGCTTGTTATTTCTCACAAGTTGCATTAATTTATGATGCGTAAAAGAAACAAAGAAACTTGTCAAGCTTAGTTGATAATACTCGAATACAAGCATACAAAGTGGAAACCTCCAAAAATTCTGCTTCCTAACATAATAAGTAAAAAAGTACTATTTTACAATAAGTCAACTGGCAGAATATGCATCCATGAAACAAAAAGAGTCATGGTAATGACTGATGAGTAAATACATAACCTCTCTACAGGCCAGGAATTCCCCAGTGTTGTTTAAACAGGAACTGGCCACACCACTATAGACTGTAGAGGGTTAAGTTTCGTTCAATACTAAATGTTCTGCAAACTTGTTTTGAGGGTCTAAGATTCGTATGCGAGCTACTGCAACAATAATGATAACCCATGACTTTGACAACTGCTGCAAGATCTTGTCATATAAAACAGGCTCGAAGGGGAAACCTGGTTAAGCTATCAAACAGGGCTTGTACACTCACGCTAATCATCAAACTAAACCTAATCTTGTGGTCATCTTGCAGGTCTAAACTGGTCCAGACTTCAGCCTTAGTCTCACAGTCCAATAGCAACCATTCATTAATCTAGTATCTAACATATAACCAAACCAAGAAATGAACCAGTACAGAACACATCTTGGTAAAATTAGAGACACTGCATATGCTTCACAATCTTCATGCATGATAGACAAGATTTGAGAAAGAAGGTAAAATTCCACAATAACAAGCTTTCTTCTACTACTATATAGGCTCCTTTCCTACTTACATAATTTCGATAAAATTTGACCAAATTGTAATTTGCATGACAGAAGTGGAAGGCAATTGAGGAACACAAACAACCCAATACATATTCATGTTGTGCAGATGGTTTTGATGAATCATTCATTTAGATTGAAAGACTCGTATAAAAGACAAGTCAGTGCCCATTGGTTTTCATTATTGCGTAACACAAGTTTATGCCAATTATCATAAAACAAGAAGTCAATCATCATAAACCCTAGTGTTGAGTGTGATAGATATCCACGATTCTCTCCTGTGATAGGTGACTCATCCCACCATTTACTTCTCCTGCTCTCTTCACAAAAAATGCAGCTATTACCAGCATAATCCAATTGCAATTTTACTAATAGCATTAAGCACGACCAGGATGTCAACAAGAGGCAAGTGTTAAGAACAAGTTAGTGGCAAACTACTGTTATACCCGCGTTCTACAACACGGATTGCTGCAAAGACGAAGATACGAAACAAGACAACATCGAACGATTTAATCACCAAGAAAGGAGCATGACACTAATCATAAAAGGGGCACGAAATCAGGAAGTGACAAATCAATCATGGGGAGACAAGCATAACACTAGAAACTTGCGGTACCTTCTCTCTATCTATCTAGATCACGAGGTATGTAGTAATATCAGGGGAAATTATGGTCAAGGGGGTAAAAATCAACCCCGCAGTTCAGCAGGTAACTCCTGAAAAAAGGCGTGGAGACAGAGAGCGGGAAGCCGACGACACCAAGCACTGGCATCTCGATCTTTATAGAGGCCGATCGCGCGTTTCCGTTCAGGTACACAGGAACCATAGGTCCTCAGAAGAACACGACTTTGAACGAATCAAAATCCAGAACCCCGCGTGCAAGAAAGATTCAACGAGGAAAGTAAACGACGACGAGCCTTCAAAGAGATGAGATCGAGGAGACGAAGCAACACGAGAGAGAGAGAGAGTCCCGAGGAGGGAAAGAAGGGAAAGAGGAGGAAAGCAAAGCGTGAAGTGCGAGGAAAGCCCGAGTCGACCAAGTAAACGCCTATCGCCTTATGATGTCATGAGCTGTTAAACATGAGGCTCATCATCATCATCTGACGGTGGTGTTTTTTTATTGAATTTTTTAATATATATCCCTCATAAGCAAGTGGTTTTCATATTTATTTGTAATTGTAATTACATATATATATATATATATCCTCTCAAACCTAAAAACTTGAAGTCACTGTATATAGTAAATTAACTGCTAATTCATGATTTTTTTAGAATTTAAACTACTGATAATAATAGTATATTAAAGTTTATGTTATTTTTATCTATTCCGAGACATTCGATAAAATTAAAGAACAATATTGAATGAGATTTCTGAAAAGATTATTTTATTTTATTTTTTTTAGTTGTTATTTTGTGAGCTATTTTGTCTATTTAGTTGTTATTTTTTGGCCTAAAACAGTGACTTTTGGATCGTTAGTTCAGTAAGGTTTTACTGATCCTTTGGGTTGAGATAATGTACAGTAAGCTATTTCATAGTATGTGTGTTGATGTTGATGAAGTAAAAAGCTTCTCTTTTATCATTTTTCTTTTGTTTTTTTTCTTTGCATGCGTGATTTGCTACTGTTCTTATTGTCCATCTCCTTATTCTTTATCTTTTTTATATTTTTAATCAAGAAAATAAAAAATAATGTGAAGCATGAACATTGGACATCATGTAAAGTGATAATTGTGCATATATGAAATGCACCATTTTTGAATTTTTTCCAAAAATAATGTGTCATAAACCAAATTTTATACATATATTGTTGTCCTATTTAGAAGTTCAAATATGAAAAAACATTATATGGGCTCCACTATAATTTCTTAGAAATATAAAAAAAAAACAAGGAGAAAAAAAATGACACACTGTTCAAATACTAAAAAATCTATTAAAATATCAATATTTTTTTAATTAAAAACCATGACATATGTCTATAAGTATCATATCCAAAGCTTACTTCAAAATTTTAAATCGTTTTGAATAGTGCATTTATTTGATGCATTGTTTTTTTTTTCTCAAAAATAATGCATCACTTATTTGATTTTTTTTTTTTTTGCTAGACCAAATTTTCTATATATATTGAGGACATATTTAGAAACTTAAAAGTGAAAAATATTATATTATTACATTATAGTTTGTTAGAAATATAAAAAGAAAGAGAAAATAAAAAATGACACACATTTTAGATACTAAAAAAAATAAAAATATCAAAAAGCTCTCTAAAATAGAAAACTAGTTACATATGTCCATAAGTGTCCTATTCAATTTTTTTTTAATAATTTAATATCATTTTAAATAATGCATCTGTGCAATGCATTAATTTTTTATTTTTTATCTCAAAAATAGTGCATCACCTACTAGAAATTTTTTTCTAGACTAAAATAGAAAACCGAAGACATATGTTCATAAGTATCTTATTTAAAATTTTCATACAAATTTAAGATCATTTTTAATAATAGTGCATCACCTATTAGAAAATTTTTTCTCTGAACTAAATTTTTTACATATATTGTGAACCTCTTTAAAAGCTCAAATGTGAAAAAACATTGCATGGATGAATTATAATTTGTTAGAAATGAAATAAACAAGTGAAAAATAATTCACTTTGTTGGACAAATATTTTATTTTTATAAAGAATGCTCACAAATAGTGATAGTAATACTGTTCACAATAATAAACATCAATTCAACCCTAGTGTTCTAGCTATATAATAAACCAAAAATTCAAAATTTCTAGCAAATATTATTAGAGAAATGCAACCTGTGATATATATATATATATCACATCAACTACTGCTCAATACGTTAAAATTATCACAACTATTCCATTCTCTAATACTAACCATCCAAATACTTGGATGATCACATCTCAGTATTTGACTGAAAATCCTGTCTCATATCAGAGACAATGGGCAAAAGCTCAGATCATATTAAGAAAAACCATCATAATCTTTTTATTTCTAATTACAGATTGTTAATACCTGCCATTAAGATGCAAACACTTCTTGGCTAGCTTGCTTCTACGAAGAGCGAAAATAACCGGTGCAAGAGAAGGAAAGGTGAGCAGAGGAAACAAATAAGCAACCTCGAGAATAATTCTTGTAGAAGTCATCTTGTTTTACCACAATAAGACATTGCACATAGCCATGACAAGTATCTGTTGAGGAGCTTCCGGGACAGTAACATTAGCAATAGTCACAAAATGATCATCAATATTCCTGCATATTTTATAATTCCATCCACTCTAAACTTAGAGCATAAACATCAAAACATTCCAGGAGAAAAGGTTGCTTTTTGATCTGAAGATGAACTTGTATGTTGTTTCCACCTTTGCTACAGTTATTAGCATCACCAATAATAACTATATGGAACTCTTCCCAAGAAGTTTCTGAAGCTGACCATTAGCAAGTGCATCCAAAGTTTCTGGTGACATGGAGAAAAGTGAGAATCACACTGGAAATGAACCAAAAGTTGACTCAAATTTAAAACACAAAGAACTTATCGAGTGGGGGATGCCAACCATCTGAGCCACCAACATGTTGACCATTGATAAATACTTGAGGTACAGTGTAGCGGCCAACTAAATCTAGCAGAACATTTTGAATTTCTCGGCCATCATCTGCATAATCAGATACCAAGCGAGAAAAATGGCAAAAAGAACCGGTTAAAAGTTGGAACATTTTAACTTTTTAGGCAATTCTTTTCCATTCTGCTGAAAGTTGTATGCAAATAAAACGCAATGTCATTACCCCGAAGATCAAGCTCTATAACAAACGGCTTCTCCTGTAGCTCACTGAAAACTCGCTTAGCGCGTAAAGAGTACCTACAGCAGAAATGCAGTATCAAACCATACTTGTATTTTTATCAAATGAAAAATGATGATAACCAGAATAAAATAACAAATAATGACTCTAGTTGCATCCTGAAAGACTCGAAAATTCCAAAGTCCTTGCCAGCAACCTTAAACACCGTCCCAACCCCCCCCCCCGCCCGAAACAAAACCCACCCACCCACACACACACACACACACGCACAAAAAGGTCATGAGAGGAATCTATTAGTTCATTAAACTACCTATTATCCATTAAATACTAAGAATATCAACATAAAAAGGAACCTTCAAAACAAATTCTCAGCATCCAGTTTTAATGCACTATTATTACAAATTATCAATTGTGAATGAGTTTCCTGGACCTTGTAATCTATTTTACTGCTAATATATTATTATTTTTTAACATCTTGAGATTTTGTTTGGAAGTAAGGAGCAAGTATGCTTAGAATGACTTGATATCAATGGGGTCTGTTGCAGATATACCATCAATAATTATGATATTATAATTTCCTTTCAGAATTATTGCCGTCATCATCGCATAAAAATTGCACAAATGCTTGATTAACCAAAGTTACATTTGAGAAACAAACCATGCATGTGTTTCCAACATATTTATCCATTTTCACTTCTTTGTAAACAATAACAACAAGATTACTAGGCCATCATGCACAGAATATAGATCAATGACTTGACAGATTGAAGATTTTTGCCAAAGAGAGAGAGAGAGGGAGAGAGAGAGAGAGGAATCTCAGTTTGTCAGTGGCTAGCATTATGGAAGGACAACCAGAAAGATTCAGGGTAAGTTAAATAACCTGTTAGTTTAGCATTCAATATATCACCTAAGTTGATGACTATATCAAGCATAGGTTCCTACTAGAGATGTTGAATGAAATCTGACTTATCATGATCCACAATTTTTTAAAGTTTACCTCCATAACACCATTGATAATCCAGTTTATTCCTCATAGTGAAAAGCTTTAGGAAAGAATGAGCAGAACAGAGTTACTACAGAAACACATCCAAATTCAAGAAGTGACAAAAAATTTCTTCGACCCTATCCAACCTAAATCAGTGCATAATTGTTCGATTACCAAATTGCCTATTGCAACCAACAAAAGGACCTGCTTCGAGGAAATCCTTTTTAAAATCTTTTTGTTCCTATTGTAAAATCTTTTGCAAGTGCCTATTCTACCAAAATTCCTTTTTCAAAGTGAATATTGTAAAACCTTTAAACCTTATTTTTTGCCTATTATAATTTTAGTGCCATTTAGGCTATCAATATATGTTCTATTATAATTTTAAATGAATTATTAACAAAATTAAGATAATATTATGGTCAAGTAGAACTTTTTATTGGAAGAGAAAACGGGAAATTTTGCTTGAGCTCATTTATTGCCTCCCCGGTACATTAAACGACGACGATGACCAAAATCTCGTTTTTTGGTAGACCAAGTCTCGATAATCAAGACATCAATTCATATAGGTCATCACTGAATCATAAGAACAACATATAATTGCCGATACCAAACCAACGAGATCGAGATCATATAAATCCACATCGATCACCATGCAAGAATGAAGAAACTAAACCAAGAAACCAGAGAAAAGGAAAGGAGAGTTACGGGCAATAGGATTTAGAAAAGATGGCGATCCTGTTGGAGTAGACGACGTTTTGGACGAAGGCGGCGGCAGAGTTGCTCCCGCGGTCGGCCTCCGTCGCGGATCCCAAGAGCAGCAGCCCCACCGCGACCACAAGGCCGGTGATGCCCAAACGGCGACCACGATGCATCGTCGGCGCGTGAAGGGGCTTAGAAGAACACCTCTGCCGTGTTGCTGCGTCCGCCTTACTTTGAAGCAACCGTACGCTTGTCCGTGGGCCGAGCCTGACTTGGCCCATAACATATGTGGATTATAGCCTTCATTTCCCTGGTTTAGTGCAAAATAGAGATACATGTGCATGCAATTATTGAGTGTGCTGCTCGACCCAATCTCATATGCATAAGATTGCTCATGTGAATGCTCAAATGGTAGAAGTGAGTGTCGAGTTAGGTTGGATTCGAGCCTTGTCTCCTCGGGCTCACCTTCTCTCTTGGTAGGTTGTCTGCTTCTTCGTCGTCAAGCTCCTGCACATAAGCCGAAATCGGAATAGGATTTCTCCACTCGATCCCTCCGAAGTTTCAGTTAATATTGAGAAAAGTAAGAAGAAGTTGAATACTAAAAATCCTCTCCATGATGTTGGTCGAAAGGTTGGCTTTTATACCTATGAACGAGGGTCAATCGTACATGATTCTTTAATGATTGTCGACTCCTTGGGCGGCGGGCTTGTACCTTGCGGATGAGCACCAATTGACTTATACGAACCCGCGTCGTGTGGCACCATTCCGAGCTTTTTGAAACTGCTCGTACCCAACAGTACAAGGGCAAGTGGTCGCCATGTTCGGGGTCTGAAGTATCACGTCGTGCTAACCTGGAGCTCCTTTGTTGGCATTGTCATGGTCGTCAACAACTGTCACGTGAATGGTACTGAAATATGTCATATCATTCTCCCTCCCCCTCCCCCCTTAGGGGCATGCACTAAGTTCCTCTGGGAGGGGCTCGGGGCATGGCTTAGTACCTCTTGTTGGCTAGGTTGACCGTCATGCTGGGATTAGTGGTTCGGTCGTTGGTTAGTCGGCGGCTTCCACTCGGGGTTGAACAGGTTGCGGAACATCACTCGGGGATGGGGTTGGTTGATCAACATAACTCAAATGATACTGTACGAACACTCAAGTGGCTGAAGGGCATTTCTCGGGCACCTGGCGCATTACTTGGGCCCATGTTTGACCGAGCAACTACTCGGATAGTGATTGGACCAAGCAACGAGTGACCGTATATGACTAGCCGAGCAACACTTCTTGGGCATTGGGGACTAGTTTGGCCGAGCAGTTGCTTAAACAATGATTAAACTAGGCAATGATTTAATTGCATATGACTGATTGAGCAAAACTGCTCAGGCACTAGGGACTAGCTTAGCCGAGCAACGTAGCTCGGGCATTGGCTTGGCTGAGCAACACTACTCAGGCCTATGTTTGATCGAGTAGCTGCTCGGACAATCATTGAACTGAGCAACAACTGATTATATAGGACTGGCCGAGCAACGTTGTTCAAGCACTAGGGACTAGCCTAGCTTAGCAATGTAGCTCGGGCACTGGGTTGGTCGAGCAATACTACTCAAGCTTGTGTTTGGCCGAGTAGCTGCTCGGACAATGATTGAACCGAGCAACGACTGACTATACATGACTGGTCGAGCAACGTCGCTCAAGCACCGTGGAATGGCCTAGTCAAGCAACGTAGGTCGGACACTGGCTTGGCCAAGCAACACTACTCGGGCCTATGTTTGGTCAAGCAACTGCTTGGATAATGATTGAACCGAGCAATGACTGAAGGAGGGTCATTCTTCTAGTACTAAAATATCGAGAGACCTTTATGCCATAGCCGAAGTGTTAGTACGGCTTGGTCCAATCTCAGATGCTCAAGGTTGCCCATATGAATGCTCGGATGGTAGAAGTGAGTGTTCGATTAGATTTGGTTCGAGCTTCGTCTCCTGGGCTCACCTTCTCCCTTGGCAGGTTGCTTGCTTCTTCATCACTAAGCTCCTACACATAGGCTAAAGTCGAAAGAAAGAAATTTCAACTCGACTAATCCGAAGTTTAAGTTAGTGTTGAGTGAAGTAAGAGGGAGTTGAATACTTGAAATCCTCTCCCTAACATTGGTTAGGTGGTTGACTTTTATACAGGGTTGATCGTACATGATTCATTAATAGTTGTCGACTCATCGGGTGGTTGACTTGTACCTCGCGGATGAGCATTGATCGACTTATACAGACCTGCGTTGTGTAGCGTTGTTCCGAGATTTTCGGAATGACTCAGCGGTATACGACGTTGAATCGTACGAGAGCAAGTGATCGTCCTGTTCGGGTTTGAAGTGTCGCATTATATCAACCTGGAGCTCCTTTGTTGGCACTATCATGGTCACTGACCGCTGCCATATGGACGGTGTTGAAATATATCATATCAATTAGTGATATGAAATGAATATTATTTTTTATTTTATATACTCTAAGAACTATTATTTTATGCGTAGACCAAACAATTCAAAGGAGACACCATACATATTGGCATAATTCTCATAATGATTCCGTCAATCACTAAGACCGGGACATTTATTACTTGTTTATTACCCAATGATTGCTGCTTAGACTAAACCAAGCCAAAATAATTAGTGTGGTTCCAACCGATCAATGAGCGAGAGCGAGAGAGAGAGAGAGAGAGAGAGAGGTGCTAACTGTCAACTCCAATGGAACTTTTGCAGGCCAACAGTATATTGACACTGCTGGCTTCTGCTCCTCGGAGTTACTACGCCTGCAGTGCTCGTTAGAAGGGGAGACGAGAGAAGGTATCCAATGGGACGCCATGATGACTCCTAGTTAATGCCGCAATAACCAAAGCAGTGTCCGTAGATGAGACGATCCATTTGATACAAGGCACAACAACAAGGTACATCTTCTCATCGACAACAAGGTATGGTTCCGTTGCCATCAAAGGTCCGCAGCACAGTAGACGGACATTGGTATGAGCGTCCCTGTCATGTGAGGCGCATGCTGTGCATCTGCATCTTTTTCGATTCATGTTCAAAAGATCATAGATCTATTACAGCATTGATGATCGTCAAAACGATCACATCGTTCTAATCACATGAAATATAATCGATATTTATGCTAATATAATCTAACATCCTGTTCAATCAATTCCCAGATTTGTTGTTTTGGTCCACCAAGAGTGTCTACACCATAACCGGTCCGAGTCATGGAAGGTTCACCGTCGTTGTTGCCATCATGAAATCCGTGCCCGGTTCAGCCCGCGGCACCAGAAACGGCCGTTCCCGTCACCAACGACGCTTTTTTGTCGAGTCGGACCAAATCATCCATCAATAAGCTGCAACCAGCGGTTATTCCCGCTCATTCACTTTATTTCAAAGTTTTCCCCTTGGTCGGGATCCCCTGCAATCACGGTGACCGTTCGAGTCTCCAATCCAACCTTGAATCAGCAGCCCCAAATCAATGGACGGCTTTGATCTGGAATAACATGTTTACAAATGAAAGGAAAATTGGGTAGGATCTACCCCCCTCTTTCCAGCTCGGTTACGGCTTACCCCACACGTTCCATCGGTCGTCGCGTCGCTTTCTCCCGCCCCGTAAACGAGTAACCCTTTCCATTGTGATTGGACAATTCAGTGGGACCGAGTTATGGACCAATAGAAAATTAGGTATCGCGGATCTGTCGTTTAAGTTCCATCTAATTAAGACGCTCCACGTCGGCTCACGTTTTCCACGTCACCCACGCCCTATTTTACATACGGGAGAAACCTACCCATTCGCTTCTCCTCTTTAACTCGTGCCCTGGCCACCGACTGAACTCTTCCGCAGAAAAGGGGAGACCGAACCCCTGCTTGCCTCTTCCTCTTTTATGTTTCGAATCTAGTCATGTGATATCGTCCGACCGTTGTTTGCTTCCTCCTCGCCACTTCTTACCCTCTCCACCTTCTCTTCTCTTTCTCTCCGTTAGCGCGTGCCAGTGGGCCGAAGGAGTGGGGGAGAGTTCTTGATCGCCGCCATTGATGGTGGGTCCGTACTCCTCCTCCTCGTCGAGGGGGCGGAGCAGCTCCCCCTTCGGTCACCGGAAGCCGCCCTCCACCTCCTACTCCTCCTCCTCGTCCACCTCCTCCTTCGCGAACGGTCGCCTGATCCCCCGGTCCTCCCCGTCCTCGGTGTCATCCCACTTCTATGGGTCCTCCTCCAATGGAGGATTTTCCAGATCCGTGACCCCGACTCGCGGCCGCGCGGAGTACTCTAAGGCGCGGGTGGCACCGGCCGGGTTCTCGGCCGAGGAGCTGGTGGTCGAGCCTGCGGACTCCGGGGGATCTGGGGATAGCATCTCCGTGACCGTCAGGTTTCGGCCTATGAGGTAAGGGGGATGGATCTGAGGGTGTGGCGCAGATCTGAGTAGGTTGGGCTCGGGGATCTATTTATTTTGTTTATGGATGTATTTATTTTTTCATGCATTTTGAAGTGGGTTTTGGTGGTGAATAAGGTGTTCTTGGAGGTTATTTTTTGTTGTTATTTTAGGATGTCGAAATGAGTTTATCAGATGAATTTGGCTGCGCATTGCAGTGACCGTGAGTTTAAGCAAGGAGATGAGATGGCTTGGTATGCTGATGGGGATAAGATAGTCCGTAGCGAGTACAGTCCATCCACATTTTATGCATTTGGTAAGATTTTATTGCTAATTGTTTTCTGATTTTCGTGATACTGATATCTTTTGTGCAAAAAAAAAGAAGCAATGAATTATCTTTTGGAATATTTTTGTTGTTGCTGTTCTTTTTAGTAACCTGTCATGCTGGACAAACTAACTGCAGCTATTGAAACTTGCAATTGATCTCATTGTGATGTAGTAATTGTCCACTGAGGAGTTGTTGCACATAGCTCCTACTCTGTCATATCTTCTGAACGTGTCCCAAGCACAGTGGGATGGACTTTCATCTTCATTGTTCTGGAATGGAAATAGGACCACTGCAAAGTTATCCACTTCACATGTCAATGTGACATTACTTGTTTTGTACATTGCTTTACTCGGCATTAGGATACTAGGAGTGGACAATTACAGTCTTGTGTCATCGTAGATTGGTTCATGCATGGACAGAAGTGGTTGTGAATCACATTATGTTGTTCTGTGCATTACCTGGCCTTTTGCTGTGCTCCTATATGGTTTCTTCTGTTCCCTGCTAAGACATTCATTTAAATATCCTAAGCATGATATCAATGCCTCTTGTCCCATTCCATTTTCATTTGACAGAGCTTCATGTTTCTGTTATCTTTCTGATGTTATACTGGTAATGCCAAGAATATAATTGCAAGATTAGCCTAATTTCTAGTTCTATTATTTCAACCAGATAACACAGCACGTCTTAGCCTTTTGTAATAGTCAAAAGCTTGGTGGATTTGGTTCACGTGTATATTGTTTTTCCTGATCAGCATCACTACTGCTCATCTTGTCATGCTCTAGGCAGTAAAGTACCAAGGTTGATACTACATTGTAGTTGTTCTAGCCTTCTTCATTGGAGACTTGTGCAAATCATCAAATACTATACGGACTGGTCAGTATGGGCTGTTATTTACCAGTCTGACAACTGATGGAGATGCAGATTGGATGATTTTGCATGGTTAGGGTTATATGGGTTGGACTGGCTGACTTGCTCATCATACCAAACAGTAAATAACCCAATACAAGTACTTGATGATAAGATTATTGTTCGCTATATATAATCCGTTTCTTTAATTTTTGACATTTATATTTTTCCAATTTCATTGTCCTCAATCCTTACTTCTCTCTCCCCCCCTCTCCTCCTCTTCCAGCGCCATCTCCTCTTCCTCATTGCATGGCAGTTGTGTCCTCCATCACTGCATTCCTGTTGGTGTCTCCCCTTCCTCCTTGTCCCGGTCACCGTTTCCTCCACCATATCTCGTCCTCCTCTTCTCCATCTCTCCTCTTCTCTCCTGTTTGGATGGTAATGGCCTGTACTGAAATTTGATGCATTGGTTTGTACAGGAACCATACTGATAGGTATTGACACCCAACTGAGATCTTAAACCTTGGAGTGGAGATCCTTGCGACAAAAGGTGGATAGGTTCATCTGTCCCAACCCCATCTATGCTAGAGATCCGTCATAGGCTCACTGTCTATATAGGAGTTGCAATGTGAATTATTTGGGATCCAGACCACTTAGTAACCTTTAGTCCATCTTAATGCCACCCCTAATACATTATATTTCAGCTTATTAGGCAATTAGATTCAAGTTACAGTTTCTTCATAACCCTGTGAAAATGAGTCTTGATTGACATTTTTATAGGGCCATGAACTAGAACCTTTTTCATGAAGCTGGCAGGACACCTAAATGACTCATAGGTATTAGTTACTCTTCTCCCTCACAATGATCCTTATTTAGTTTATTGTTGAAGTAGATGAATGAACAGTGTAATTTGCCACAATTACATCTCAAGTGATGTTAATATAAAATTCTCATGATATTTCAGGACTTGGTTTAAGGGTGCTGTATGTGTATTTGAACTTTTTTTTGGAGTCTACAGTTGTAACTTTATGTACATTCTTCCTACCATGTAGCTCTACCAAGGCTATAGCTCGCATATGATGAGGTTGGAATTTTTTCCTTAAGAAGAATCAAATCTATCTTTTCTTTTGCAGCTAAGCTTTGTCAAGGGTAATTTTTTTGAAGGCATTGCAACTGTATGCAAAGTGTTCTTTTAAAATTCTGATTTTTACTCTATCTTGCAGTTTTTTGTGTGTGCAAAAATTCTATTCCACTGTCATCTCTTTCAATTTTGTAATCGCACAATGCGTCGAACAACAGAATACTGTCTCCTACTGTCCAATTGCCAAGTCTTGCTTGCTATGAAGTTTTGATATGCGTATACTGTTTTCCTCTTTGCTGAAATGGAAGAAACTATTGGATGATACATCTTTAAATAATACCAGTTTCAAACCTTAATTCTTTCTTATTCTACCCTTATTAATTTGTCATTATCTAATATTTGTTTATTTTGTAGACAGAGTTTTTGGTCCTTCCACAACTACTCAAGTAGTTTATGATGTTTCTGCTCGGCCTATAGTCAAAGCTGCGATGGAGGGCATCAATGGTTTATTAACTTGGTCTTCTTTTTCATTGTTTAGCTGCAAGTTCTCAAAATTTTATTTGCATATGTTGAGTACAAATGTGCTTTGTGTTCTTCAATTATGCCGTTTCTTTGGCTTGGCAAGGACAAGGTTGGTCTTGTAGATAAAAATTCTACTTCTTTACTGTTATAAAATTTAAAGAAATAAACTTCAAAATAATTGGTAGGAAACGTTATCCAACTTTTTATAATATTTAGCACTTAGACTAATTGACTAATTACAAAATAAAAGGGATATGCAATGGGAGATATTTATACTATATTTGCTTGATGTTATTAAATTGTAACAAACCTTTTGTTGGTTGGTGACTAGTGGAATCATGGATTGTATGCCAATCAGATATATAAGTACTTGACAAGGTTTATTATTCTTGGTGAATGCTACTTTGGGCAAGAAAGGGGCAAACTGTGTGAGTTTGATGTAAAATAGAAAGATGTAAGGAATCAAGCTACTTGAATGCCTTTTCCTTAACTTGTGGCTCATTAATTTTTGGATGTTGCAATGCATTTATGGGCTCGTGATTCTGAAAGTCGTAGTAGTTGAGGAAGATTGTATGAAAGTGATCCATTAATTTTGTTGAGCATGAACCATTAGTCAAAAAAATTGAACCAGTAGTCAAAAATACCTAACCTTGAGTTAACAGCAACTATCAGACCCTTGTAAATCAGACATCAGACCCTTATAAATCAACCGTTAGACTCTTATGAGTCGATATAGGTTCTTACTCACTTCGGATGTGAGACTAAATTGGTGGCTTGACGTTCTCATCAAGTCCAACATAGGCTAGACCAAACCATAGCATGACATATGTGAGGTTTGCATAATGGTGGCTCTATGCTGTGACATACCTTGTGGTCCGGTCTACGAATGATCTTTTCTACTCAAATCCCTCATCATGTCCAATACTTGATCAACTCACATCATTTGTCATGATATGACTTGATGGGATAACTAACCCATTAATTTTATTGAGCTGAAGCATTTGTTCACTCATCAGAGTCAATTTAAGTCCTTGCTGACTTTTGATGTAGGACTAAGTTGGGGTGTTACAAAGATAATATTAAATTCCTTGGATTCTTATAATTTCTACACCTTTTTTTTTTCAACTCTTTGATGGCTCTGATGTTTTTGAGCATGCCTGGTTCTTTACTATATTAACTTATATATTTTTAAAAGCTTTATTTAAGTTTTGGATTTCGATCAGGTAACAGTTGAGTGTAAGAAAGTTGCCAAGTATCATTGTCAATGAACTTAACCAAAAAATTGCTTGTATTTTCATATATGGCATTTCTTAGCCAAAAAAAAATTATTTGTGCTCTTCTATTTGAAAGAGGCTCTTTCTACTAATTGGAACTAATTAAAATTTACATTGGCTTGTTTCTATAATGCCGTGTTCAATCTAGATCTTTCATATCTAAGCATTAGTTAGCTGCTTACTAACCTCAACTCCACATTGACTTGTAGGTACGGTTTTTGCCTATGGTGTGACTAGTAGTGGCAAGACCCACACAATGCATGTAAGTTGACAGTCATGTGATAGACTATCCTAATGATCTTTATTTTTCACAATTCTTTTAGTTGATTATAGTATTTCTTTTGGTATTTTCTCTTATTTCCAACCCACGTAAAGAGACATGCTATCACCGTATCACGTTTTCAGTGACTCAATTTTGAAGTTTCCTGCTCCCAAATGAACCCATCTAGTTTGCTTGAGTTTTAATCATTGGTGCACAATTTTTGTCATATATTAATGTTGGTTCACTTTCTTTGTGATTGGTTCTGTTAAACTTGCTTAAGTCGTGTTCGATTAGTATTTCAAGTTGATATACTTTCTATTTATTTATTGCATTGATGCTGGTACCTTCAATAAAAAAGGGGAGAGAAGAAACTATAGCGTTGAATGATGTTCATCTTGATGCTCCATCCAATGAACCTTCATCTCTGATGCAAGTGAAGGAAATATGCATTCAGGGAGTAATACTAGTGTGTTATGAGAGAAAGCAAAGAGGCCCATTTGTGCTCAAGATTTAATTGAATAATAATAGGCCCTTGATTCTACTGCTCTTTAATTTGACTACATTGCACAATTGGTGGATCATTTCCACTTGATTCTGCTGTTCAATGTTCTTATCCTTGCAAAACTGGTGGGTCAATTTTCATGGAAGAAGATATAATAAAGGGAATATGTCACCATATCATATGGGAGTAGTAGAAATTCTTGTTTATTTCTCATGGACTTCATGTCCAAAAACTAATTTCCAAATATAGTTTTCTCTGATGATTACTCCAGGAATTCAACCTGCACCTTCTCCTTAGCAAAGTAAATTTTACTGTTTGACCATATACATGCAAAATACTGTGGGATAATTGAAGTTTGCATATTAGATCTAGTTACTCTATTGGAAGCTTGAACTGCAACATTTGACAATAATCAACTTCTGTAGATGCTTTTTGGTTGTTTACTTTTGCAGAGTACCCTCTGACAATGGCCAACTGAAGGTCACTTTCATCCTCTTCTATAAAACATTCTTGCTATGGTCACTTGATTAGTTGTTACTTAAATGCCTTTTCATTGATCTGATTAGTGTTAAGAATATCAGCCTTAGATTTCTCATGTGACTGATTCCTGACTCCATCTTTGGACAAGTTACAGTACAAACACTAAGAAACACTTGACTAATCATATGCTGGGTTGAGAACAGATTAACATTGGATTGCTTGACAAAGCATGTGTGATATTAAAATCAAAGAAGAAATAAAAGTTGATGAGATGTAGCAAAAGGGGGGAAAAATGAAGAGAATGATGATGCAATGCCAGATCAGTCTATGGTATTTCATAATTTGGAATGTATTCTTGATATTGACCATCAACCAGGGCAAAATTATCAATGTGCCAGCACATAGTGGTCAGTCACCAAGGTCCTTCTCTCTCTCTCTCTCTCTCTCTCTCTCTCTCTCTCTCTCTTATCCCTATACTTTCCTTAAAAGAATAGCTATTTTTAATTAGGCTATATTAGGAATTGTACAATTACTACAAATCAACTCCGTTGATGGGCTAATGCGGCATCAAGAAAAAGAAAATAAGGCATCTACAAGGAGGCTTCTAACGATGAAGATAATGTGGAGATTGTTGTGAACTTGAGTACTAAGAGATTTCAGATCACACAGCATATTAGGTATTTGGCAAGCAGCTGCTGAAGCTAAGCTCAAATTCTTACTTGATGTGATGTTTCAATTTATATCTACTTCTCTTGAAGACTATTGCATCAAGCATTTACTTCTTAATGTCTCATTGTATACTTGTAATATATTCTTTAGTAGGATCAGAAATTTACTGCTATTATCTTTTTTCTCTGTTTTCTCAGTATTGGCTACAATATCACCTTGTTAATGCATGAATTTTTTTTTTGCTTGCTACCTGTGTGAACCATGAACTTCCACATTGAACCTATAAATATGAGCATGAATCTTTGAATCTTTGTGAGGTATATACAAAGTTTTCCATGCAGCTGCATCAATCCTTGTTTAAACTCATATCTTTTGTGCTGATTCTTTCATTTATAGGGGGATCCCAAGACTCCTGGTATTATACCACTGGCCATCAAGGATGTCTTCAGCATAATTCAAGATGTATGCTATTAAGTGTCTCTATTATTATATTTAGCCGGTTATCTCTTTTATTCAGATTGGCTGTAACCCAATATCTACTGCAATTTCTTTGTGGAACTGAGAACATTGAGTATTTCTCTATGGGACAATACATGGTTACAAGTTGCATTCGTAACCATGTTTGAGTTGATTATTTGAATTTTATTCATTATTATTATAGTCAGCATTGCTAAATAGGAAAATGATTAAATCTATGTGTTTACAGTGTTCAAGATGGCTTAGTGTTAAGAAATCTCTAAAATCAAATGAATATAGAAGCTTGTTTAATCTTATCTCTTGGATCAAACCATTAAATGTGGTTGTTATATTACATATTCTAGTCTTGTCGACTGACACTTTATTATATGTTCATATGATTATCTTGTCTCGTGAATAATGAACCTTAAACCAAAAGGAAATTAGATAGAAGATAACGAATAATAAATTATATGTCAAAGTGAATAAATTCGTAGCATACTTAAGGTTAGTTACAATTTTCTTTTCATTTGCATCATACTATGAGTACTAGGATAGCTAAAAGCCACTATGTCTTTCCACTTTCCCAATCATCATTGCAAGTCTGAAGATTAGTTGATACTAAAGAGCTTAATGGATTTGGTGGCATAAGAGAGGAATTGTATTGTAGTCTTAGTCTGAGGTCAGCTAAATTACCTGTTTCATGGTATTTTTGGAAGAACTACTTTAATTGTTCTTTAAAAGGCCATTCGTATTGGGTTTCCATAGTTAGGATGAGAGGAGAGCAATAGGAGAGTAGGAGAGGAATGGGAGAGCTACAGATTATCAGTGTTTAATTAATGTCTTTCTTCTTGCATAACTACTCCACTGCCCATTATATCAGATCTACTGGTAGAAACATTACAAAAGTAATTGTTTGGTATATACTACTAGAAGTTGATTTTCATATAACCAATAGTAGGTAGTACTAAATCTGATTTGGTTGTGTACAAATTAGATCTTGGTTGATCCTTACATGAACCAGTTAATAACCAGATTAGTATATCAATTCTCAAACTGAGTTTTAAGGGAAAAACTGTGGTCCATACGTGGAATAACAAGATTGGAGTAAATCTGATCTTGATTTAATCCATTTACAGAGTTCCATGAAGCTATTGCCTGATATGATGCATTGACCTTTCATGTGAAGACACATTGTTGCATTGATATATTGAAACTTGACCAGAAAGGTTGAAAAAAATAAAAAACATTATACTTTTGTGGTCTTTACATATTAAGTAGGCACATTGTGGGGGCAATGTTTGAAATTGCACGTGACATTGTAGCTGAATTTTTCTTTGGAAATTGTAATTTAAACATACCTTTTGTACCGGATCCTTCTTGCAATACTAATTCCTTGTTTAGTCAATTAAAATTGTGATTCTGAAACTTGAGTTTTTATTGGCAGACCCCAGGAAGAGAGTTTTTACTCCGTGTATCATACCTTGAAATTTACAATGAGGTAAGGGTCTACATCATGATTTATTGTAGTTGAAATATAATTGTTAACTTTATTCTATAGCTTACATGTGAGTCATTTATATGTTTCATTGGGTGATAATCCAATTGAATATTTAATGTATACTTGTAATTCGATACCTGGATTACTGTTGTCTTGCTAGAAGTTTCCCGATCAAATGTACTTAAATTTGATCACAAAAATGCCATTGTAAATAATTTAACAATCTTGAGCTTTGTTGCATGTAATCTATGATACTCTTCAAAGCATATATAATTTCCTAGGTTTTTGCTAACCTATTGACTTGTTATTATTTAGGTTATTAATGACTTGCTTGATCCCACTGGACAAAATCTGCGTGTAAGAGAAGATGCTCAGGTATGAAGACATTTGTCTAATTAATGACAATGTGCATATTGTTTTCTGGCCCTTCGTAAAATAGTTATCTTGCCTAACAATGATGATGCTTGGAGAAGTAGAACATGACTTGTTTATAATGTCAAAAAACAATTCTATGGCCCTTCCTGACATTATTGTTAATGGTGGTCAAAGGTGGAGAAATATTCATGCAGCTAATTCCAACTGGTTGTAAAGAATAGGTTGTTATTTTTCTCTTACATGTGTATGCTTGCTTCCTAAGCTTCTACACCGAACCTTAGCAGGCCAGATTTACTCAAACAGTTAATGGTTTGTTGAAGCCATCCAGTTGTCTGTAAACTCTTTAGGTTGAATTATGCATTTTTAGTTGTTATGTTTGTTCTTATTTCATAATGGATATATTATTGGTGGGGTCTTGAGTCCAGATGGTAAACATGTGAACAAAATAAATTATCTTGAAGGTCTCATGTCACATGTCTAAAAATCAGATTTAGTATGATACAATGGACCATGAGCTATTTCAATTGTCATTTTGGCATGCATGGTTTGGAATTGCTTACTTATTCCTGAAATGTTCAAATAGCATGCATACTAAAAAAAATGTTACATTCTTGCATGAACCAAGAAGTGAGCAAGTATATTTGATCGAGGAGAAGGCTATATACATTTTGCGGGATATCAGCCAGTGACCATATTAAGATGGAATTTTGTATTTTTGGATATGAACATGATTTTATCTAAATTTTTACTTGCCTTGGCTTTAGCATTTTATCTCAATGAATGATTCGGCTTGAGGCTTGTTTTAATCATTTCAAGATGGCTAAGAACAGAAAAATCAGACATCTAGTGTCTCAGATATTGTAAGGCCAACATTAATGTTTGTAATAGGAGAGGAATTTCCTTTTGTAGATCAACATGTGATTTTTTTCCTCAAAATATTTGTTGTTGGAGAGCTTTGTTTTTTTTTAACTATGTATTTATGTTTTGGCATTTGTTAGTGGCCTTTTTTGTTTGGTTGTCTATGAAACTTCTGGAGCTTAATAATTGAGGTAAATATATCACTTCAATTGTTTCTATTTATGTGATTTGGCTATTCTGCTGTTGGCTTAATAGGACAGTTTCTCAATAAGTTGAAACCTTTCTAAATCAGTATGTTGTGGAGAAAGCTTTTTCTTTCCTTTTCTAATCACAGTTGAAACCTTTTTGTAGGGTACTTATGTTGAAGGTATAAAGGATGAAGTTGTTTTATCTCCAGGACATGCACTTTCTTTTATTGCCGCTGGTGAAGGTGGGTTTTCATTTATGCTTCTTTTTTGCCCATATGAATATTTAGTATGCAGAAACAGAAACCTAGCATGTTGGTGAAAGTTCACTTAATGAAAACATGGGAAAATTATTAATTGATATATGTTTTGTGGTTATGTCCTGTTCAAAAATGTGTCAACTGTAATATATTAAGTGGCAGATTTCTTTGTAGATAGTGTCTTTAATGTTCTATATGGTTGGGTAATCCTCGACATCGACTTTTGATGCAGATAATACATCTTATTATTCTAGGTAGACTCAAAAAGCAGATAACTACGTTGCAGTTTTCAGTTACTTTCTGCAGATTGTGTTTGATTGCTTGGCATGGTGTTGAGCGCACTGTTTTCTGGCTTTATTGATCTTGATCTTTGTTCTTATAAATTATAATTATATATATTTTTCTTAGAACCTTTTTTGTCTGTAAGTGCATTTCTATACTTCAGATTCTGTTGGCCTTTTTTATTAATCATTCATAGACAGTATCCATAGCTGCATTTTGGAGCTGTTGTCCAAAAAATGTTGGTGTTATATGCCAATTATCATGTCCCAATCTATATATTAATATTTTTTTTGAACCCTTCAGTTCCTTCCAGTGCCATTATCATGTCCCAATTATCATTTTCTTCAGTATATCTTATTTTATGATATAGAACTATGTGGAGAAACCAAGGATTTTGTTTGAAGTAATATATCAGATGTATAACAAAACTAGGATTATCAATTGACTTTTAAGTTGAATAAGCAAAAAGAACCATCAATATCATAGGGTATAATAAGTTCCTTTCAAGGAAACTTGCATCCCTGTTAATTGTTAGTTATTAGAAATATCTCAATGTCTTTCCATTTTTCAGTATTCTATTCCACAAAACTGGTTTTACATTTTAAATGGGCTTAAGAGAGATCTGACTATGATGGTGAATCAACTTTTTTATCAATATCAAGTGAATATCTTGTGCAGCACTTCAATCTTACTGGTTGCTTTTAAACGTCTGCTATTGTGCTAGTAATTTTGGATATAGAACTGCCTTTTGGTTTCTTATCTCAGTGGATGTCTAAAGCTTCAGTTACTCGCATACTATTACTTCCTTTTTTTATTTTCAACCATACTAAATGTGAATGTGTGTCTTCTTTATCACATTGCTAGTAAAGGCACAAATTTGTTATGGCTGTACTATAATTGTTGTGAACATTGCACCCCGAGCTTACAGATATATATCCAGCGATTTTGCCCATCTCCAGGATGCTTTGGTGCATTTGCACCATTACGGTTGCCATTAGGACTTTCTGGAATACTTGGATCACTAAGGGTGTCTGGAACTCTGGATAGATCTATAGCCAGTTTTAGTGTTTTTGTGGTTATCTTATAGCCATTTATTTTATATGTTATTTCTTTATTAGATGTTCTCGTGGTGCTACTGTACTACAGCCAATAGAAACAAACACAGAGGTTTCATCGGTGACTGAAGCATTATAAACTTGATAAATATTGGGTTTCTAGGGTTCTCTGTCTTGTGTTTTGAACTTATAAGTACAAGCCTTCCCAAGTATTTTCTGTTCTGTATTCTTCAGAGTTTGGACCATGATATAATGCTTATGGATATAAAGTTTCCTGATCTGTGGATTTTGTCCAAGACTTATGCTGTCCAAAAGTTGCATCCACAGTCAAGATTTTTTCTTTTGGAAGAAAATTATTAGTGGTTGCTCATGGGATACTTTATCAAGAAGAAAGAAAGATTATGAAAGTATTTCAAGGGTCAGATCAAGCTAGAAATGCTTATTAATGTCGGTTCCTTCGTATTAGGATTTATCGCTGCACAGTACAGTGATACACTACATTACTGTTTTCTCCAGGATATTTGCTTTTAGATATTCACCAGTTGCTTTTGTTATCAGCTACGTTAAAATAATTGTAAGAATTTAGTTTCTGAATGTTTGTATAGTCATCACTGATTATTGTAATTATTTTGTTTAAATCGCAGAACATCGTCATGTTGGTTCTAACAATTTTAACCTGTTCAGTAGTAGAAGTCACACAATTTTTACCTTGGTATGTTGGTACAACTGTCAGTATTGTACTATATCCATTTTTTAGTTTTGCTATAGTCCAAATATTACTTCCATTATCCTATTTCTATTAGCTTATGTTTGCTCATCAGGTTGCACAGATCTTTCCTGCTATCATTCTTAATGTTATAACTTGCTTGCCAAGTAAATTTGTCTTTGCTCAAAAATTAAGTCGTGATTTTAGTGGGTGGACAAAACGACAATCTTGATTTAACTAGCTATTATGCCATCGTAAAAAATCTTGATTATGCCATCATAACTAGCTATTATTTGTTTGAACATCTTTAAATTCTGTCTCTAAGCACCAAGCAATGCCAATATTACCACGTTAAATTTTCTCATCTCTCTACTTAAATACAACAAACCTGCATTTCACGTTCATGTGGATGGATCTGCAATAATCCAGGCTTGCAATTGACATAATCTTTTCCTTAACTCTGCTATCTTGAAAAGTATACTGCTAGATATAAGTTTGTCATTTATACCACTGCATTTGATGAAAATACAATTCTCTGGAGTCTGGACATAAAAAAAAACCAATTTTTTTTTATTCTTCAATAATTTTGTACAAATCAGTTTGCAAATAAGTCAATAATTATTCTACTTCTATTATAGAACTTTGCCCTGTCATGTATGTAAAAATGCTCAATATTTCTGTATTTTTTGATGGAAAAAGTGCCACATTGTCTTTTCCTTAACT